CACCTGTGTTAGCTTAACATGTTCATAGTGTTAACTTTTGACATAATAATTAATGTTGAGTAAGTCAACACTGATGTGTTTAATTTCAACTACTGTGAGTGTCGATTCAACTATATCACAAATAACACTTTCAAAAGTGTTATTTCTACACCATCCAGAGTGGACCAATATAGACGCGTTCAAACTGTTTAATTCAACTCTGTAGGAGTTGACTGAACACTTCCAAATTTGCTGTGTAACATGTCATGATACATCCAGGACAAAAAACATTCTCATGCTTTTGAGAAAAATATTTTTCACTATTTTGACAAAAAGAAGCTTTATGAATCCTAAACTGTGTTTATAGAATCTTTCAAAAATGTAGTCCATGGTTTGTCAGATTCTAACCTTTGTCCAATTAAACTGTGTTTTAATTTGTGATCAGTGTAGAGTTATCCACACTGGTCACAGTGTTAAAGCTCGGTGAACATTCTGTTCTGAATATCTATCTGCATAATGTCTGAATGATCCAGAGGCATCCAGGCTAACATTTGATTTATGAGTTTAGATGTAAATGAAGACCTAATTAAAAGAGGAGAGTGAGCTGGGATCCTAATTACAGACACATAATCTGAGCTGCACACCCAAATGCTTCTGCTTAGCGTTTCCATGTGAGGCAGGTGTCATCATTGCTGTAGATTTAATGACTTTATCTACAAATGCTGAGGAGACTGTTCCTCTGAAGCCTCAGATATATTTTGTCAGCTCTGTTTCTTCTCAGTTCAGTCACAAAGCCACAGCCAGTTTAGGAGAGTTCAGTTGATCTTGTTGGAAGTCACTATTCGTGCTGAATAACGGCCACATTTCCTCTTCTAGAAACCCAACAAGACAGCTTCCTGTTGTCAGTGCTTTATAGCTCAAACATTCAGTGACATTTTAGTTTTACCTGATGTTTTTTCCATCCACCAGTAGATGGAAATGAAGCATAAATCACCATATAAATCTTTATTTAATAAACTCAAATTGGAGCTGGACACTTTTATGATTTCTGGCATTTTTACATGTTTTACAGACTTTTTTGTGAACCTTATACATTTTTACAAACCAATTTTAGACCAGGCAATTTTCCTTGGTTTAATATTAGGACTATGTATAAACTTAGCAATGCCTCATAAGAAATAAAGTCAATGTGTAGCTTCTATTGCAATCTACTGCATTCCAAAGTCAATAAAATAATTGTGAACTAGGAATTTGATTTATCTTCAATATGAAGCTAAACCAAATGCTAACGTTAGCATTGTCAGCAACTAAGAGGTTATCAGTTGCGGTGCCTCAGTGAGAGGTATATAATTGAGTGATGTTTCAATTGTTGAAGATCACATAGAGAAAACATTTCACAACAAAACTGAGTAAGCTGTAGCAGGAACAACAGGGGAAGATTGTGACAGTAAAAATGTTAAATCAGTCCTGGCAACGAGAGTCTAGTGAGTGAAGTTACACAAGCAGAATGGAGGGAAGGTAAAGGTCTGACAGCCTGAGAAAACACTGACATACAGTAGGCTGGAAGAGGATAAATGTCACTATTCTATGAAAATGTTTGGGTAAATGAATTATGAAATACTTTGACTATAATTCTGCAGCTTATCTCCTCCAAGCTAACTTCTTGTTTTTTTGTTCACATGTCACTTCTATGAAATTGTTCCCACACCCTTGCATAAGAAAAGTATCCTAAAAAATCATCTCTCTCTCTCTCTCTCTCTCTGTATTTGGGACATTTCTGTGTGAATAAAGCCAATCTGGAGTGAGGTCAGATGTGTTTCTGTGTTGGCTGTATATGCATACAGCCAACACAGAAGAGTTTGGACAGGCAGCTTGTCCAAACTCTTACCTGCAGCTATCTGCAGGTAAGAGTCACACAAAAAAAAATAGGAGTCAGCATTTTACTGTCAAAATATGCTGTAAATATCTCCCTAATATTGAATATTAGCACACATTTTTTTTAATGAAGTGACAAACTTTCAGCACATCAGTGAGCAAATGGTCATTATGGAACAAACTTCTGGAGGATGTGGAGAGCTGGTTGCTGATGATATGAGCTATCACTGTTCAGCCACCCTGAGGACATTTCAGAAGGAACAAGTGTAGATAAATGACTGTGCGTGTGTATGGGGGTTGTTATTAATACTGATAAGAGGCGGAGAGGACAACAACGATAAGCTCTTGTATGTTGACTCCTTTACGTTGTGAGCACCTTTACTCTACATGTTTATTGTCTATATTTACATATTTGATAATATTTACAGATATCAGGTGTGTGACGCTGTAATAATGTGTCTGTGAGCAGCAAATAAGAGTGTGTCTTGGTTTAATCTTATTTCAGGACTGTATGAGTTTTGTTCTGTTTATAAAAGACATCTTTTCCAATGATGGCTATTATTTTCTTTCTCTCCTCTCTCTGTCCTTGTGCCTCCATATGTGGAGGCAGAGAGAAGGTGTGGCTGAGGGGGAGCCCTGGCTGGTGGGGCACACGGCTTTTTATCTGATGCAAACAGTTGGACTTTCAGCACCGACCAAATCTCACTGGATTTTCTGCTGTCTTCCTTTTGGCATGTTTTCCAGTGACCATGCTGACGTCCTGCGTGTCCACTGCTGACAGGCTGTGAAACCGGTAAGGCTTGTCTGTTTGTTGGCTTATGCAAAAACATGAGGTTAAGAGATTGAGATTGGGTTACTTCTCTTATGTTGGGACTGTGATCCAGGTGTAATAATTGCTGTATTTGATCAATAACAGACCTAGTCTGACTGTAAACATATTTTTAGAAATTCTTTCCCCAAGAAAAGTTCCAACAAACCTTATTCTTTATGGAGAAACGTTCTTTTAGAGACAGAGTGAGCTTCTGTTAAACTGTTGTAACAAACTATTACCTGGGTATAATGTCAGCTATTTATGTTGTTTAGCTTCTGATATGACTATCTCAATACATATTTTCTATGTAGCCTCAAGTTATTTTCACAAACAAGAAACATCAGCTCTAGATATCACTCCAAGGATCAAAACATTTACATGAGAGGGTTTATCTCAGAATTGGCTATATAATGTGTATAGAATTTGGTGTGTGGCTGGGATTTATTAAAATAGGTGTGGCTTATGACAACAAATCTACCTGGATGACTGCAGCTACTTTTGGGACTGAAACAACTGGGACTGGAGATAATTACCAAACTTCTACAAATAAGATCAGGTCCTCTGGTTCTATAAAAGGTTATTGAAAGATGAATGTGAATTTGAAATTGAAATAAATCTAGACCAAAACAAGAAAAGTGGTAATAACATCTCAGTTCCACCAGAAGAGTTAGCATTTTTATGTTTTAATAGGCCGTATTGTACATGTTGGATCAAGTACAGTACATCTACATGTTTTGGATCCTTGGTTAGCCCTATTAGGTAGACTTTAAATGTTCTTCCCATTCATACAGTATGCAGGTTTAATTTATGTTTTCATGGAAATACAAATAGGTAAATTATCCCCGTTTTGCTTATATAGTTTATGTAGTAGCTCTCAAATATTTACAGTTTTACCTTCTAATGTGACATCAAACATTTTAAGGTAAAAAGTGAAAATATTATGAAATTTGCATTATGACAAATGTCCAGGTCCTAAATGAAAACTTTCTTGAAGTAATTTGAATCTGGACACAATATTTTGTTTGGTTTGCTTTTCTAGTAGAAGTCTATCAGCATACTACGTCTTCACTTGGTAATATTTGCCACCTCTTTCTTGCAAAACTTCTCCAAATTGCAAGTTGATGTTAAATATATTGAATTGATTCTATTATATTTATGTTGGGCGTAAAACAAGAATAAATGTAGAAATTAGCTCAACCAGTGCACAGTGTAGTAGTTCACTGGTTGGCCCCTAAAAATGTTGCCACCTGAATTTAACAGCTTCTCATTTCTGAACCAGCCATGTAGGTCAGATCACTGGCATCAAGCAGAGAAAACAACGTAGGAGAAACTGCTAAAATGTGGCTCGGAACCTTCCAACGAAGTCTTAAAAACTGGAGGGAAAGTGGAGAACCATTTACCATTCACCATGAAAAAAGTGTAAAAATTATGTATCATAGTTTCCAGCTAGCTAGCCTGTCGGGCTGCGAGGCCTCAGCCAACTATCCCCCCGTCCCATTCGAGTTTTTTTTCTTCATCTCAAGCTCTTCCCTGCAAAGAGCAGAGTGTGAGACAGGCTGTTTTTTTTGCCTCTCCTCCCCCCCTCGTGTTGTTGCGTGATGGATGGTTGTAACTGAAACTGCAATTTCGTTGTCTTTGTGACAATGACAATAAATTCTTCTGATTCTGATTTATATTGTAACATCCTGACAGTTTAAAGTGTGTGTGTGTGTGTATACTTTAGAGATCCACTGTAGCTTCATTACACACACAGACTGAATGCTTTCCAGCTGTTCTGCAGCTATAATAGCACTTTGTCAGATGAAATGTACAGAATCTTATTTTTAATTCATATATTGATTCTAATAAAAATAAAAATTGTGTTTCAATCATTCGACCTTTATTCTCAGTTTGTATTCAATGGCCATTTCTACAACGATTAACTTTCATCACTATGTTGTTCTTTTACTGACTGCAGCCATGACAGAGCTGACAGAGGCAACACTGACCTTTGACCTGTGTCTCCCTCTCAGGTTTCAGCCACATTATGACTAAATTAGCTGCTTCTGAGGCGGGGGAGCACCCACCATCCTACATTATTTTTCTGGTGGTCTTCCTCTTCTTCCTGACGGGTCTGCTGGGCTTCCTTATCTGTCATCTGCTGAAGAAGAAGGGCTACCACTGCAGAACCGGAGACCTGGAGGATGAAAAGGAAAAGCTTGGGGAAGATGAAGATGGTAAGTGGAGAAGACAAATGGAGGAATCAGTTTTTAATTTTGTAGTACAGTCCAAAAACATGACTGTCAGGTTAATTGGTTTCTCTAAATTGTCCCTAGGTGTGAGTGTGTGTGCATGGTTGTGTGTCCTGTCTGTCTCTGTGTTGCCCTGCGACAGACTGGCAACCTGTCCAGGTTGTCCAGGTTGTCCCCGCCTCTTGGCCGGAACGTTAGCTGGAGATAGACACCAGCAATCCTCCCAATCCCACTAGGAACAAAGGTGTACAGAAAATGGATGGATGGATACACCCTTATTTTCTTTATTGTGTTTACAGACAATAAACACATCATGTTTCCAACTTCAATTTTTCCAGTATCAAACACTTATTATTTACTTAACCACATTAAGTTACTTTAACAATAAATTCTCCCTAATATGAATCATTTTAGTAGTTTTAGTTGTTGCACCAGGCTTCAGATTTAGTGGCACTGCTGGTGAAAATGTTTCAAAAGCATTGGAATAGATACATTTTAATATGGCACTACCATCAAAAGATTGATTTGTTTAATTTTGAGATGTAATGACATTTGGCGCTGGAAAATGTAAAAAAAAACAAAAAAATCCAAACATTCAGTTTGTGGACACTTTAGTGTTGAAAGCTAAATGTCTGTTTGGGACTCTGAATAATTCTTATAGAATAATTAACTTTTTTGTGATTGTCAAGAAAAATCTACTTATGAAAGATGTGATTTTGTCCACAGAACTAATATTTATTCCTAAATATGAAATCTTTTCCACACTGAACAAATTGACTAAAATTAAGAGTTAGATGTTTCCATATTATTTGGTTGGATGTTCTTCCACTGTAATAAATGTTTTAAATATTTCAGACGTCATTGCACATGCACCAGCCCGGTCAGTAAGTGTAGAGGGTGCCATGCTATGAGAGCAGCGTAATGACATTTCCAGTGTTCTGAGCGCAGCTGGTTCTGAATCTGTTTATTTCTCATCTTGTTTTTTTCTTGTTTTTTTTCTCCATCTCACTCATAAAACCTCCTGAGTACACAAACTCTCAGCATGAAACCTGGCTGTCTTTGAAGAGTCCTCTCAAACACAAACATACATTGCTCTGATGCTCCTGCACATGTAAGAAAAATTTTTCTACACATGTAAACAAACACATACACTCACCCAAACACTCAAAAACCTAATCAGTACTTTAAGGATATTTTGCATAGACTGCACTCTCCAAAATGACTCCCTCAGGCAGTGGTTGTATTTTTAGGTGACTGAAAGGATTGTTGTTTTTATTTGTTCATGTCTTTCTTTGCTGTTTTCAGATGAGAATGACGAGAACCAGGACACCGTGGAGCAGATTCTTAAATGCATCATGGAAAATGAAGGTAACAAGTTTGAATGTTGTTAAATTCAATTTATTATTCCGTGCTATGATGCTAGTGTTGGGTGTATGGGCGACTGTGCCTCTGTGGAAAGAGTAGTCGTCTTGTGATCGGAAGGTTGTAGGTTTGATTCCAGCTTCCTCCTGCCACATGTCAATGTGCCCTTGGGCAAGGCACTTAACCCCAAATTGCATATCGGTGTATATATGTGTGAGCGTTTGTGAGTGCGAATGGGTGAATGTGACTCTAGTGTAAAGTGCTTTGAGTGGTCAAAAATTATTGGAAAAGTGTTATATAAGTTCAGTCCATTTACCATTTGTTGATTTATTTCAAATGGCTCTTTTCTGATCAGATGTATATATCCCATTACAGTTTGTGCGATTTTCTCAGAACTTGTCAGAAAAGTTGTTTAAGTCAGTGGATTTGTGATCTTGTCTCCTGCAGCCAACATGGAAGCCTTCAATGAGATGCTGGGAAACCATAACGTCTGCGTGCGCCATGATCCACGGTAAGCTCACACACAAACCCACCACTGAGCACATGGCAGCAGATTTTCTTTAAAATTACAATGAACAAATTTTAAAATTCATTTAATTGTGATAGTTTAAGATCTGCTAATGGCACAACAGCACACTAGAGAACAAATCATGATAATAGAACTGTGGATAAGCTTCAAATACAGTAGAACGGTTCAACATAGGGGACAGAACTATTTAGCTTTAAGCATAACAAAAATCACAGAAAATCAAATAATCACTGTTTCAACTTCATATTTAAGAGAAAATAGCTCTGATTTACAGTTACATGTTAGATTGTTAGTTATTTTTATCAGAATTAGCGCAGTTAGCATTGCTACTCGTAAACATCATTCCCTGTCAAGTAGGTTGACTGAGATTTAACCAATATTTCCAGCCTGGTCCATGACAGATAGATCTTGATTCTTCTGAAGGAAACCAGGAGCAGCTTTGCTGTTGTTCGTTCTTGTATCATCGGCCAAAGTGGCAGCTTTAGCCGATGATATAAGTAGTTTTGTCAAACTTCTTGCACTCCATGTGCTCAGTTTTTGAAGACCACACTGATTCTGAAAATTGTGTTCTTCACTCAGTAGCAACTTGAACACCAAAGACATACTGTTAGCATGATCTGCTACAGCTTAGATACCAGACCATTCCCAGTCAAGCATTAAATCAGATAATTCTTGTCACCAGCCGTGTTCTCACTGTATGTTTCTGCCAAGAAATTCACAAAGGAACCGTCTTCATCAATTCTTTCAAATTGTCTGGAATACATAAAATAATAAAAAACATAAACTTCATAAAGGTGTGATAGGATAGAGTAGATATCTGATTGACCTGGTGATTACATCCAAAAGGTGAAAACCTAACTAGGACCAAGGTTCCAGGTTTGTATAACAAACTGAAGTCTAACAGCATCACTGCTTTTCTTGCCTATCTTTGTACAAATGCATATATTGGATCTTTGTCTTTGCTGTCCATAACAGTCTCAGGCATTTGGAGTATTTTAGGCTAAACTCTCATGAAAACAAGTAATTCTGAAATTGCACACCAATAATCTTGCATGTTGACATCCAGGTTGCGTAAGGAGTCCATTGGTGGCATTCCTCCCCATCTCCATACAGTCCACTCAGGGACCGACCTCAACTCCTGCCTCCTCTGCACCCAGGTCAAAGCGAAGAGGGGCCACAGACAAAGCAGGACACCCCGTTTCAAACAACGACCTGGAGAGCAGACCGTCTTCTCTGTTGGAAGGTAGGAACACAGACTTTAGCCATTTTGTCAAGTTCAACGCATGACGAGCTGTAAAGTGAAACATTGTTCTCTCTGTCATTATCTCCTCAGATTCCGGGTGACACACTCTGATAAGAAGCTCCAGGGAAGTCCTAACCTATTGGCTGTTTTGGGGGACCAGCTGTACCAGTCCCAAGATAGTGAGGAGAGAAAGGAGGATGGGTACAATCTGAAGAATATGTTTAAGGAAGTCCAACTCCCTCCAGATGGTGCCAATGGTGTTGCTGCAAATGTGGGGAAAAGGAAGAAGAGTGTGACCATATTTGGGCTGAGGCGGGGCAGTGATCCTTTAGGTTTGAGAGTAAAAGAGAGGGTAGGTAGAGACACTGGGGGGATTAGATTTGCTGTTGAACAGCCACCTGTTGTGATGGAGGAACCTGTCCAGGCAGAGAGTGTAGAGGCTAATCCAGAGCGTGGTACTAAAGCTGCTGCCAAGCTGAATACTGAGCCTGCATCAGCTCAACGTGAAGGCATAACTTCTATTCTCAAAAAATTCTCCAACTCTAACTCTGGTTCCCAGGAAAGTTCCAGGCTTGGCCTACAAGGAAAGATGGCCGCAGGAACCTCTGCCCCTTCCTCCCTGCCTGTTTCACCTGGGAAATCTGTAGATGTCGACAATAAGATAGTAAAGATTGAAGATCCTGGACCACTACAGACCTCAACCCCCATTGACATCATACCTGCACCAATTCCAGGTTTCACCTCTGCTATGCCCACTGGTCAGTCCCATTTGAACAAAGACTTTACGACTGCCAGAGTTTCCTCTGACCCATGTTCCAGTCCAGATCCAGAACCAGCTGCCAGCGGAGGCCTTGCTTTGATAAGCTTGGGTTCATCTCCTGCATCTTCCTTCCAAAACAAGACTTTTTCATCTGTCTTGTCATTAAAAACGCCTACCTCATCCCTGGCAGAGTCACCAAGCCCCAAAAGCAGATTGGAGAGCAAACCATTATCACCACTCGCCCCATGTTATTCTCCAACTGCAGCCTCACCCCATTCAACCCTAAAGTCAGAATGTTTGACTTCTGTAAGATCTGCAACCCATGGAGATTTACATCCAAGTTCATATTCCACGAAGGAACACAAGCTTGAAGGACAGACTGAAGAAAAGATAGAAAAAAAGAGACCTGGAATCTTAAAGACACCCAAACTGTCTTCAGTTGCAGCAGGAGATCCAGCCTCTTTGTCTGAGCAGGTTTTAAAAGACAGACTGGGAAGTTTATCTTTGACACCCCCCAGCCCGTTGTCCCCATCCTCACTTCAAGGAGGGAGAGTAAGTAGTGTATCAATTGTTAAAGCCAGTCCTGACAGCAAGAGGGAGTTCTCTGTCGTCACTATGGTGCACAAAGAAGAGGCATCCTCATCGGACCAGAGGTTGAAGAGTTTCCAAGATGGATTTAAATCAGAGAGAGAGGAAACAAACCCCACTGTTAGAAAGCAAGAACAGATTTTTATTGGTGAATCTGAGACTCAGAGAAAGGAAACCTCAGTAGTAGAAACCAGATCATATCCAGATCAAGACAAGGATGACATGATGGAGATGGAAGACATTAGAGACTGCAAGGTGACACAGGTGGAAGGAGCTGAAGGGCCGAGAGGGGACACTGACAAAATGTTGGATAACCAATCACTACAGAACCAAGAAGAAAAGTACCAAGATGATGAAGAGTCTACTGCATTCAGAAACAATCCAAGCAGAGAGACAAGCGATACCACAAACTGAACTACACTCAGACAAGTGATAAGATCGATGACAAAATACTATGATAAGCATTCTTTTATTCATTTAACTTCAGATGAATTTTTTGGAAAAGTTTTTTTCCCTTTCTTGCCATAAGAGTGAAACTGACACCAGACCTTCATATTTATATTAATGTAAAAGTTATGGTTTGTTAATATCAGCTTTGTTCTGTAAGTTTACCACTAACCACCATACCACCAATGGGCTGGTGGTCTGGTGTTTGGATATGCATGAACAATGCCACTGGCATTCATCTCCTTACTAACAGTTTAAGAGTTTCACTTAATGCCCTGAAATGTGTCGAAGTCCCTTCCTTTACCAAATAGAGCATTGGTTTATAATCAATTGGCAAACCACAAACAGTTGTGTCTTGGAAGATCTCACACAGTGTCTTATGGGATAGTCACATTCTACTGATTTTCTACCATCAAAGAGATTGGGCCGACTACCAGAGGATTAGAAGACAATGGACTTCTGCAGTGTTACCATTGAACTGAGGGCTGTGAAAACAGACTACAAAAGATTATTCTCTATTATTCCACTGAGTTTTTTTTAATTGGTATTCATTAAAGAAATGTAGTTATTCCAATTTGCACAATTTTATTTTCAATGGAAACACAGTTTCTTGACAGCAGAGGTCTTAAGCGAAGTCCCAAGTAAAGACATTCAGGTGCAAAGTCAAGATCAAGAGTTAAGTTCATGTTCTAAGTTCTTAGTTTTTCCATTCTTACTAAGTCATTACCAAATATGTCATTCAGTTTCAGAGTAATAAGATTTGACTTAAACTACAACTACCTAAAAAAGGTAATACCAAAGTGAGCAAATTTAAACAAATGAGTTAAAAATGGAAATGTATTTACTTTAAGGCTGATGTTACTCCAGAGTGTCAGCATTCACATGCATGTTTAATGTATAAATTAAATAAAAACTAAATGCAATAAAATATGTCTCCCAAAATATAGTTTTAGTTACTCATCTAATTTGTAAAGTGATAATTTGTGTCTTGTTTGCATGTATGAGGATGAAAACTGAGAGGAAGGAAGAAACCCAACACTTACATAAAGTCAAAGACATTAACAGAAATGCTGTTGAATGAATCAAAGTGCAGTTAATATCTGTTTATGTCTGTCTTCATATTGTCCATTATATATTGCACTAAATAGTGGAAAATCATTTTCTGTTTCCATATTTAAAAACTTTGTTCTCAGTTCTGAATAAGAAATGTTAAAAATTTAAGGTACACATTACATCATAATGATCGAGACAAAGTGTGGGAAGTACATAAATGAGTCTCGAACTTCTAAACTAAAGGGACAGGAAGTGCTTTCATTTTATTGTTTCAGCCTCGCGTGTCTTTGTAGTGTTACGACAAGTGATCATTATTGTCATTATTATGACTAACATGCACAGATAGTTATGAGCCATTAACAAACATCAGCAGTTTTCCAGAGATCTGAATGTTTATTATTATTATTATTATTTTAATTTCGTCAGAATATTACAAAGATGTCATCAGTTGCAGATTCTGACACAGGGTAACTTCATTACAAAAAACCTCACCTCAAACAAAGAAATATTCTCCCTAACTATGCTACAATCCTGCTTAAGTAGACAGAGACCCTACCACTGATTAAATTCAGTGGGAAAGTCAGACAAACAGCGGTGAAAATTCTTTAACATTCACCACCTTAGCTCTCATCTTCAACCCATTCAGATGGATGATTATCAAATTTCCTCCAGGTCAGACGTTTTGTTTAGTGCTGAGCTGCCAATTAATGGATGTAATACAAACTACACCAATAAAATGAACATATAAACAATTACCAAAGGTTTTTTCCCCTCTTTTTTCTTTTCTGTAACAGCAACAATCTATGTAGAAGGCATACATTCAACCACACCAGTTCCACTACAAAATTATTTGATTTTACATTAAAAAGAATTACAAATATTTTGTACAAAGCACGTAAAATATTTTAAAAACTACACATGCATAACTGCCATTAAATGTAGATTGTGCCTTTGCTAAAGGAATGTACTGTTATGGGATATCGTTTGTAAAGTTTGGTCAAGAATTAACAACAATAACTTCAGCTATTTTAGCCAACCATAAGAAGCATTGTTTTCAAAGTCATATTTTTACCATATTGTTCATTCGTTTATAAATATCAACTGATATATTTAATTAGCAAGCTAAATGTTTACTTGTAAATCATTTTTTTAGTTAGCCGTGTAAATGTTTTATTTAAAGTAACATGTTTAGCTAAACATTTAATTAGCAGCAACATATGCAAACTAAATATTTAGTTTGCTATTTAGTACTAAGCTAATTATTTAATTAGAAAGCCAAATTTGTAGTTAGCAAGGTAAATACTTTACTTGAAGCTAAATACTTAGTTTGAAGCTAAATATCTAGCTTGAAACTGTGATGTTTATAAAATAATAAATAACATAGTGAAAATCTGAGTTTGAAAAACAAACCCTGATTTCTTTTCTGTCATGACAGGCTAAATTACGGTGGCCGGCAGGTGCAAATGCGCAGCAACAGAGAAAACATGCAAACAAAAAAAGAGACGCAAACAAAAAACAAATGAAGCAAACAAAAAAGAGACGCAAACATTTTTGTTTGCAAGTGAAGTAAACATAAAAAGAGACGCAAACAAAAAGCAAATAAGCAAACAAAAAAGAGACGCAAACAAAATGACACGCAAACAAAAAAGACTACAACCACAAATGAAA